AATGAAAGTGGAGTCTCTGCAGCTAATACAACAGATATTAAAGGGAACATTAAAGTGTCATGCATAAGTCTTTGCCAATATTTGATAATGTAGATGAAATAAACAAAATCAGATGCCTACAACCAACATAAACAGACTCAAGAGGAAACAGAATGGTCCATGTGAAGAGATTTAATCTGTTATAAAATTTTCTTCCAGTAATAATAATGAACCAAGATTTGGATCAGATTGCATAACTGGATATCACACAAACATTTAAAGAAGAGTTTATACCAATCTTGCACACAGTCTTCTAAAATTAGAGAAGAGGAAGAAATACTCCCTAACAATTCTTATAAAGCCCTCATTACCCTGACACCAACACCAGAGAAATAAATAAGAAAAGACAATTACAGACTAATATCCTTTATGAATATAGATGGAAATTTTTTTCAACAAATGACTAGCAGAGGAAAGCCAACAGCATATTTTAAGAGTCACATAACATGATCAAGTGAGATTTTATTCAAGGAATAAAAGGCTAACTGAAGATTAGAAAATCAGTCAATGCAATACACCACATAAATAGGAAAAGAGTTAATGAAAAGAACCTTATAATCATCACTATTGATGTAAAAAATACATTTTATAAAATTCAAAAACCTATCCTGCTAAATCCTGAGGAATGGAAGGAATGCTCTTCAACATGATTAAGGATACCCAAACAATCAACAATTAGACCTATTGGGAAAATATTGAAAGAATCCCCCTTGAGATAATATATAAGACACAAAGGCCTGTTTTTCATGTCCCCTATCAAATGCTGCATTTAAATTTCTAAATAAAGACAGTTTTTAAAATTTTTAAGTATCCAAATTGGAGTAGGATAAGTTGAATTATCTCTATTCAGAGATGACATGATCCAATGTAGAAAAGCTTAAAGAATCCACAAGAAGTTAATACAGGAATTTCACCTTTTCTGAAAACAAGCTCATCAAATAGGAATCAGTTAGAAAAGTAAACAACTCCACTTATAACAGTAACTAAGAGAATGAATAAGTGGGAATAATTAAACAAGGGATGAGAAAGACACAAACAAAATAATAAGATATTGCTGAAAGTAATTAAAGAAGATCTAAATAAATGGAAAGATATATCTTATTCATGGACTAGAAGAATTAATCTTCTTATTATATAAATATTACTCAAAGAAATAGAGAAAGTCAACATAACCCTAATCAAAATAGTAGATGCTTTCTTTAAAGAAATTGAAGCATTAATCTTCAATTGTATAGAAAATTACAAAAAGCCTTGAACAGCTAAAGCAAAGTTGAGATCGCAAAACAGCATAATGGACTCACCTTTTCAGATCTTAACTCATCTTACAAAATGTACAGTAGTCAAATCACCCTCATACCAGCATAGCAAGAGATACATGGAACAAAACAAGAGAATTGAGGGACTAGATATATGAAGGGGTATCAAAGAAAACCAGAATTATTTTTCTTTCAAAGTTATATATGACAGGGTGCTCCGCTCCCCACGAAAACACCAAAAAAAACCAGAAAAAAGCTCTGCTGGGCGGAGCTTTCTTAGTATGCATCTTTCCTGCTAGGAAAGTATCCAGCAACTCACTCTGAATTAGTGCACACAGTGGCATTGCCTGGGGAAGTTCTCTCTGGTCACAGTGAATTTTTTCATAAAAGAAGTTTCACTTGAATCTCATATTTTATGATGGCCCATTTAAGACAACAGCATGTGGCTCTGAAATTTTGTTTCCTGCTCAGGAACAATGCTACAGAAACTGTTGTGATGTTGAACACAGTTTACAAGGACAGCACCATGGGAAAAATTCAAGTGTATGAGTGGTTTTCTAATTTCAAAAAAGGTGAAATATCAATTGATGACAAACTTCCTTCTGGATGTCTTTCAACTTCCCAAATGGACAAAAAATGCTGACTCACAGTGCATTTGGAAGTCATTCCACCAGGTCAGACTGTTATCAAGCTTTCTATGTAGAGGTTCTGAAAAAATTGTGTACCAGTGTGCAACAAAAAGGCCTGATTTATGGCAGACAAGGGGCTGCTTTTACCACTATGGTAGTGTATCTGCTCATACAGCCATCTCAGTGCTAGAAAATTTAAAAGATAGGTACATGGCCAACTGACTGAAAGAGATCCATATTTGTACCCATTCCAAATAAAGGTGACCCAACAGAATGCTCAAGTTATGGAACAATATCATTGATATCACATACAAGTAAAATTTTGCTGAAGATAACCCAACAACAGTTGCAGGACAGTGACAGGGAGCTGACAAAGGTGCCAACTGGATTCAGAAAAGGACATGGAACCAAGATGGCCCTTGGTTCAAAGCAGAGAATACCAGAAATATGTTTACTTGTGTTATATTACTATGTCAAAGCATTCAGCTACGTGAAACATAATAAATTATGGATAACCTTGAGAAGAAAGAGAGTTCCAGAATACCATGAGGAATTTGTACCTGGACAAAGAGGCAGTTATTTAAAAAGAACAAGAGGGTGTTGCATGCTTTAAAATCAAGAAAGGTGTGCATCTGAGTTTATCCTCTCTATCTACTTATTCAGTCTGCAGGCTAACCAATCATGAGAGAAACTGGATTATATAAAGAAGATTGTGGCATCATGATGGGAGGAAGGCTTATTAACACCCTGGGCATGAGGAGGACTTGAAGCATTTGCTAATGAAGATGAAGGGTTGCAGCCTTCGGTATAGTCACACTTCGAAGTAAAGAGGGCCAAAATCCTCACAACTGGACCGATAGATAACATCATGACAAATGGAGAAAAGGTTGAATCATGAGTAATGATTGTGGATCAAGCATGAGGATCCACAATCAATACTCATGAAAGCATCAAGCAAGAGAGCAAGAGGAAGGAAAAGCATGTCTGGAGACTGATTATGGAAGAAATTGTATAAGTGTGTTTGACATGATTGAACTATGGAATGACATGACGTATGTATTAATTTCTAAGTTACAGGGGTGGAGGGGAAACATAGATTCAGGAATGAATCCTGGGCTTGCACTATCCTAGCTCCAACTTAAAAACATTTAGTTCTTACATCATGGCTCTGCTCCATACTCAACTTCATGAAATGGTCACTGAAGATAAGGATGCTACAGCAAAGCAGGATGAAGAAAGCAGATGGTGCCTGCCTATCAATCAAAATAGCCTTCAAGGCTTGTATTCAAACCAGCAGCCATCCAAACGAGGAGTCAACCAAGTCCACATAGAAGAAGCATACCAGCTTGTGTGATCCAAAGATGACAATGACAAAATTCGAATATGGTGAATCAGAACTAAAATTAAGAACGCCCAATGTGGAGAAGGCTATAGAGGACAGTGGGAGCCCAAAACCCATCTGCAGAGAATCTAGTGAGACTGAGCCGCTGGCAGATCCGCTCTAGCCAAAGGCAAGAGTTCCTAACAGCCTTACTATGCAGCAGAAACCATTGTAATCTTGATTATGTGGGATAGAACTCGGTCCCAGGACAATTGTTCTCCCTGTAGACACGACCTGAATTAGTACTGGGTGTAAGTGTCTCTTAGTTGTCCTGTAACAGAAATATCCTCCCTGACCTTTTGATAGTGGATGGGGTCTTCTCCCTCTTATGTATCATTTGCAATTTTGCCTTTGTACTAATATGATCTTATCCTGACCACCTTAGTGTGATTTGTCTTTCTCCGTTTTCTGTTGGGTATCCCAGCTGTGGAGCACAGGAGGAGTGGGTGTAGAATGATAAAAACTGATACAAGGTGTTATAGGGAATGCAGGTGTGGGGATGGGCGATAGGGAGGGAAGGGGGTTTGGGGAGTAAACAATGAAGGCAGGATGGGGAGGGAGCACTAGAACTGTTCGTGATTGTGCAACTCTGTTTAAAGGCATTAAAACCATGGGGGTTGGGGTGGGGGTGACTCTAAGATAGATGTGGTGGTGATTGTACAACTCCCCTTGATGTGACTGAACAATTGAACTGTTCGATTGTATGATATGTGAATTATGTGCCAGTAAAACTGTTGAGAGGAGGGGAAAAAGATGCCCTGCATTAGGTAAATCTGCTGCACAGGACCTCTTTAGAGTATTGAAAAGCAAACATATTACTTTGAGGAATAAAGGGTGCCTAATCCAAGCCCTGGTATTTTCCATTGCCTCCTATACTTGTAAAAGTTTTACACTGAGCAAGAAAGACCAAAGAAGAATCAATGCATTTGAGTTGGGGTGCTTGAGAAAATTTTGAAAGTACCATGGACTCCTACAAGAAAAAGAAAAGAAAAAAGCCAACAACTGATCTGTCTGGGAAGGAGTACGGCCGGAGGGCTCCTTAGAAGCAAGAATGGGGACACTTGTCAGAAGAGACCAGTCACTGGAAAAGGATATCATGCTTGCTGCAGTAGAGGGACAGTGCAAAAGAGGAGAGCTCTCGCCAAGAGGGACTGACACAGGGGCTGCAACGCGGGCTCAAGCAGGGAAGCAATTGAAAGTACGGTCCAGGACCCCGCAGTGCTTCCTCCTTTTGTGCGTCGGTCGCTATGGGTCCGTGTCAACTCAGGGACTAGCAACCACAATCTGCTAATAGTGTTGAAAAAAGTTACAACTGGATAACGGTGATGATTATACAGCATGATGTAGCGTCGGTCGCTATGGGTCCGTGTCAACTCAGGGACTAGCAACCACAATCTGCTAATAGTGTTGAAAAAAGTTACAAATGGATAACGGTGATGATTATACAGCATGATGTATAACATTATCAGCACTAAATTGTACGTGTGAAGAATGTTGTAACAGCAAATGTTTTGTTAAATTATTTACCACAATATAAAAAAGAAATGAAGGAAAAAGTCGATATTTCCGTTTCTAAATCTAAAATATATATACAAATTTTTGGTAAAGATAATAGGGTATACACTGCATGGACTTTTGTTCCCTAATATGGAGATTAACTTTCCCAGGGGTTATGATTCAGGAGGAAGTGCATACCAGAGCTATTCCTACAGCCAAATTTGGACTGCATGCCACTCCATGATATGTTGCTCCCACGTAATTAGGATGGTCTCTGTAACTAAATTAGAAATACATATTTTGGTGGATAAAGAAATGTTAAATTATCAATGATCTAATAACATTTTAAAACAGAATTCCTTAATAAATCCATGCTTATTTTAAAGTAAAATAATGACATGCTACCAATCATTTTTCACCGTGTGATATCATTTCATAACTATAATTATGAAATGCAAATTTATTTTAACATTACAAGGTTTTCATACCAAAGCCTAGCAGCATCTAATCTTTCCCGTGGTTCATTACCACTAGATGTAGATAGCACTATCAAGTGCAATCAATAAATTCTGACTTCCGTGATCAAAAGCTATGTGACACTGTGAAACCCCCAAACTGAATAAAATCTTTTTATTGTAGAAAAGAAGAGCTTAGCAGGATCCAGTGAACTCATGAAGAAGGAAGCCAGGATATAAACATTTTTCTCACAGGAGTTTCGCTGCTCCTAAATCTTTGAAACTGAGGCTTAAGTTCTCCCAGGGGCAGGGGGGAACGGGAAACAACAGATACCTACTTTTTTAACGTATTGTTTAAGTAGCTTTAAACTGTGTTACTGCCTTTAGAATCTAGACAAATCAATTTTATATTAGAAACTGTATAAACATTCATAAAAGATACAGAACTAAATAGTTATGAATTAAGTGAGTCTTTCTGGTGATCATGGTGACTATGGAGATAGTAATCTGGTCCACTCTAGCTGTGAACTATTTATATGTTATCTGTTGTAACCAAATCAAAATTATAGCCAATGATCACAATATGTTAACTATTTTATACTTAATATTAAAATAATAACTGTATTTATTTACCTTTGAAGAAAACTGAACATAGATGGCTCTTTTTTATCCCAAGGTTTTCCATATTTCCAACCTATAACTATATTTCTAGGATTTAGTCTTAAATTATGACTTGAATTATTTAATTCTTTTCACCCATATCAAAAGAAG